TTTAACAGGAAAAAAAAAAAAAAAACTCACTGCCATTGAGTCTATTCTGACTCATAGCGACCCTTCCTTGGGTTTCCGAGGTGTTATCTGTACTGAAGTAGATTGCCCAGTGTGCCTTCCAAGGAGTGGCTGGTTGGTTTGGTAGCAGTCAATAGTCTTAGGCACTATGCCACCAGAGCTCCCAATAACCATTTTAGTCTTAGTAATTTCATGCCTTGCCCCTTATCTGGGGTCCCTCAGGTGACCACAGTCAGCTCACAGCTCAGCTGAAACTAAAGACTCAGGTGGCCTCCTTCACAGTCTGGGGTTGTGGTTCTGGCTTTCTGCTGGGCTTCTCTATCCACATGATCTTCCTTCATTCACTTGTCTACCATGGACTTTCTTACTTGGTGGTGGGAAAGGATGAAGGCAGAAGCCTCAAGGCCTCTTGAAGCCTAAACTCTGGAACTTAACACAGTTTCACTTCTAACAGATTCTCTTCAGAGCAGATGGAATCAAAACAACTTGAATTCAAAGCTGATTCAAAGGGAGTGGAGATAGACTTTATCTATTTCTGGGAGGATCTGCAAAGTATTGTGTCCATGGTTTTCCATTTACCATATCCCTTCTGACCGGCCTCAGCTTTATGAAGTCACGTTTGTAAATCATAGATCGGCCCATAATTGGTTTGACATAATTGACATAATTGGTCAATAGTTTTTTTCTGCTTTTTATTGTTTCTATTAATAGACTATGGATGCCTGTGTAATCTAGTATTGGTCTTACTAGATTACATGCTGTGGGTATTTCGGTGATGATGAAAATATAATAATTAAAATAGAACAGTTGAGCAAGATAAACATATGGGGCAGTCCCATGGAAGCTGGTGACTGAATCTCAGATAGGATATGTCAGAGGACTAAATATATTCTATAAAATCAAAGAAAATCCAAAGGGGAAAAATCTAGCAAGAGTGAGGCTTAAAGAGCACCCCTTCAAGCTTGCACAGAAAACAAAGACAGCTGAGTGTATTACTATATTCCAAAATGTGCAGTAGAGTCCTAATCCTTGTCATGAACACTGTTAGAAACAATCAGAAAAGATTATTCTAGTTTTACATAAAACCATGATTCCTTTGAACCTGAAATGATCAACTAGCCTTGATGAAGACAATCTAGGATTACAAATTACCAGGAAAATGGTACTAAAATGGGCAATGGGATGGCTTATGGTGGGGGAAGTTTCCCACATGAAGACAAACTAAAGAGGGTGATTCTTCTGTCTCAGAAAGAGAACATGATCCATGTTTCTAAAGCCATGAAGATTTGGGCCAGGGCAAATCCTTATGGCCCAACTTTGTGAAGGGGAAACTTGGAACAAATGGAAGAAAGTTCCAGTTCCCCTTGTAGATAGTGAGTGTTGTGGGGCTCCTTATTCTAAGAGGTAGTAATCATAACCTAAACACAGATAATTATAGATAGATTTTAGATAGATTTATCCATACGAGTTACAAAGGAGGCCCTGGCTTGTTTTTGGCTGTCCTTAGCCTTCTATTGTCTGATGAACTCCCTTTTGGAGCAAAAATCTAAGACAGAATTCTGGACTTGGTAGACCTCTGGTCTGACTCAGACTGAAAGAACCAAAGCTTTGTTATTGTGGGCCTAATCCTCCAAGCCTGTAATTTTCCCACTGCATTTTGCTCCCTAGCGTGGGCCATTAAGACAGCACCTTATGCCAGTCAAAGAGAGACCACTGGAGTTGGGAGGACAGGGAGTGAAAACTGACACACTTTGATGATGTTGTTGCTACCTTTGGTGGTTATGTTTGTGTGTCAACTTGGCTGGGCCTCATTGAGTGGCTTGGCAGCTGGTAGTAGTTATTCCCCATGATGAGACTGACAATCAACTCCATGGTGGGGTCTACCACAAGCAGCTGAGTAGGTGCTTTGGGTATGTGATCCACTTCCCGTATATAAGAAGCAGCTTTGGGAAGGGTTGTTAGCTTATGGCATGCTTGGACCCTGCATGTAGCTGTGTCATTGTTTAGTAGCCTGCTTTGCTCTGCCGACCTTGATACTTACAATAGACTTGAATTAATGGCCTGCCGTGTGGTGTGGTAAATTGAGACTGTGCCATTTTATTTGTAGACCTTGGGCTTGTTAGCCTCAGCAACCAGTAGCTGCCTGAGTGAAGAGATGCCTCTAGCTTCAGTGGGCTGGGAGCAAGAGGCAGAGCTGAAGCCTAAGGTTGAGGGGCTTTCACACAGCCCCTAGAGCCTGACATTTTGAACTTGGACCTTTAGCCTCCCGAACTGTAAGAGAATAAACTCCTGTTTGTTAAGGTCATCCCATTTGTGGTATATTCTTGTCTTGTCAAAGTGGCACTAGGTAACCAGAACACTACCTCTGAGGAGATCAGATCAAAGGGTTTGGATTTGAGGAAGAGGAGATAGTGCATGGTCAGTTGGGGAGTTGAGGGAGAGGCTTAAGCTGTTTTCATGAAGAAGCTTAGCAATTGTGGTTAGGTTTTTATTACCACAGCCTGCCCTGTGTGGTGGCACAGGGAACATGGCATGGAGAAGTGGTTCTTAATCGTTTTGAGTCACAGATCCCTCTCAGAATTTGGGACCCTCTCTCTGAAAAATATACGTAAGCCCATACCCACATTTTGTGTATAATTTCAGGAGTTCCCAGAACTTCTTGAAGCCCATGCATGGATCCCAGGGTAAGGACCCTTGAGAGGTAATAGTCCTAGATCTGGCGTCACCAGACCTAGATACTGTCCCAGACCACCTTCTGCTAAGTTGTATCATATGTATTAAATTACATCATCTCTACTTAATTGCTTAATCTGTCTGAACCTGAGTTTTCTCAAAAAATTAGGAAGTGGGACTGGTATGGTCCCCATAGACCTTTCCAGCACCATTTTTTTCTGTGATGATGGTGAGAAGAAAATATAGTACATATGGGAAGAATTATTATAAAGCCCTTTTCTTGATTAGTCTTTTGACGTAAAGTTGGAAAAAGGTTTCTAATCATTGACTGGATGAGGGATATAATCAAAATTTCAAAATAGGATACTAAATTACTGTGTTTTTCTTAGACTATGAAATCCAGAGGCAGATCAATGAACTTGAGAATGGAGGTGAAATTCTCAATGAAACCCGCTCGTTTGATTCCAGGCTGGGGTGAGTTTGGAGAAAAGCATCTCAACTACAGCCAAGTGGGGCAGGAGAGTCCTCGGCTCTAGGCTGAGCTCAGCCACAGACTAGCATGTGACCTTGGAGAAGGTACTCAGCTTCTCTGTGCCTCAGCATCTGCACTAGTAATAGTCTAAAAATATGGCACCCTGTGGGGTCATAAAGGAGTTCTGGTGGTGTAGTGGATAAGGCATTTGGCTGCTAACCAGAAGGTCGGTGGTTCAAACCCACCAGCCGCTCCACAGAAGGATCTGCTTCCATAAAGATTTACAGCTTCAGAAACCTAGTGGGGGTTGCTATGAGTTGAAATTGATTTGATAGCAGTAAGTCTGGTTTTGTTTTTTTGGTATAGGGTCATAGTATACCCTATCCACCCAAACCCACTGCCATGATTTTGGACTCATATTGGCCCTTTAGGACAGAGTGGAACTGCCCCACAGAGTTTCTAAGGCTTTAATCTTTATGGACGCAGACTGCCACATTTTTCTCCTGCAGAGCAGCTGGTAGGTTCGAACTGCTGATCTTTTGGTTAGCAGCTGAGCACTTAACCACTGTACCACCAAGGCACCTCAGTATACCCTGTACTCAGTATATCTCAGTATACTTGCCATTGACTCAGTTCTGATTCATAGTGATCCTACCAGACAGAATAGAACTGTCTCATAGAGTTTCCAGGGCTGTAATCTTTATAGACACAGATTGCTACACCTTTCTCCTGCAGAGCGGCTGGTGGGTTTGAACTACTGCCCCTTCAGTTAGCAGCCAACTGCTTTAACCACTGTGCCCACCAGGGCTCCCAGTATATCCTGTAGTGATGTGAAAAGGTTTAAACTGAACTAGAACATTTTCATAAGTGCTTAGTCTTAGATTCTAGCCCTTCCCTTGCTTTCAGCTTGCCTGCTGTGCTGCAAAAATTTGTATTTCCTTAGATAATCTATCAGACTTCTACCAGCCTAAGCTAGAGGTAGGAGAGAGTTAAGACCTGGTTGTAGAGATGCCTTTTCTCTTTCAATAACCTTGACACTAATTTCCTGACTCTGAATTTTGAGGATTTTATAAGATTGGAAAATCTTCAAGGCCTAGATTTTGAGCTACTTGAAAGCTGGAAGCACTGCAACAATTTCTTTTCTTTCTTCCTATTGTATTAAACATTTGTCTTTATTACATTTAAAAGTTTATTTGTATAAGACTCCCTTGTAGAAGGCTGGAGAGCTTGAATTTGGCTGTGCCCCTTAATTGGTCAGGGAAACCCTCTCTTGCATATACACCAACTAATGCTGCATGAACTCTTTGTTTAATATTTTCTTATGTAACTATTGCAGGTGCACCGTGCCAATGAGGGACAAAGAAGGAAAACAAGATTACAGGTGCTTGCTCATCTTTTCAAAATATCCTTATATATTTCGGGTTAGGGGCATATTTCATATCCATTTAAAGATTGATGTAATGATCCTGGATAGTTTTTAGGAAGCACTTTTTGTTGTTGTATAATGAAAAATCCAGACTTCCTATTTTATATTTATACTGAGAGAAGTAATGCCTTCTTGAGTTGGTAGCCACAGAGTGTCTGGTTTGACTCGATTCAGCTATTGGGACACACTCACTTCCATGGCAGAGTTATTATAACTGAGCTAACAGGGTGGCAGCTGAGGTTGGGTCCTATAATGTTCTAATTTGTAAATGCAACAGGAAACTCAGTAATATGCTGAAGTTCCTTGGGGAGAAATGAAAAAAAGAGATGTATAGTCAATATGTATAGTTAATGGCCTTTCTCTGCAAACTTCAAATGATGTCATTTAATTGATAAAGATATTTGACTTAATACGAGGCCCACAAATAAACAATAAAAACAGGTTTCAGATAAATTGAACCTTTTGTTTTTTCCCCAGTGAGTTTAGCAGATTGGGAAAATTGAACTTTCCAGTAAAGAGCTGTTGAGGTTAGCCCACCTTTCCTTTGTAAAGTTCAGGAAGATCTACGTGCAGGTAATCCTGTCAGTGAAGAACAAATATAGAGTCATTATAATGGAAAGAAGAGGCTTATAAACTCTTAGTATGAACTTCACTCAGGGACTCCTCTTACCATATATTTTGTCAAAGTTGAGATTATTTTAATTACTGTGATCTTCAAGGTTCAACTTCCCAAGAACTTTGTTTGTTCTTCACCATTGCTCCCTGCTCTGTTTAGGCTACTGTCTTGTTGGCCATGGAACTTTGTTTTTAACTTAGCCAGTGGGTTCAGCCTAGTCTCTCAGGTTAATAGATGCTGGACTTTGGGAAGCCTCCCTTTGATTTCCCCTTGTCTCCAAAGTCGTACTGATTCATAGCACAGAGTGGGCATTGAGGTAATGGGTTGCTTTCTCTTCTAATTTGTTACATTGAAGTCACTGTTCTGTATTACCCTGCTTTTACCTAAGCCCTTTGACAAGTATGGACAGAGAAAGTAGTAGTGCTAGAGTAGAACAGAGGGAAGGACATCTGTTTTGCAGAATAAGGTTATGGCCAGTGCTACAGGTTCCTCAATTTATTTCAGCAAAATCTATTCATTTCTTCCACCTCTCAGGAAAGAAAGTTTGGGTTTTCTCCTTTAACTTTTCACTTATCACACAAATACTGGTATAAAATTATGGAAATCAAAAAATAGGAGAAAATCATCTTTCTTTGTAATGACTAAAATATTCTCATTTAGTTCTGTATTTTCCAGCTTTTGTATTTATAAATATATGCTTTATCCACATTGGAAGACCCTGGGTGGCACAAATGGTTAAACACTCGACTATCAGCCAAGTTTGAATCCATCCAGAGGCTCCTTGGAAGACAGGCCAGGTGATCTTCTGAAAGGTCGCAGCCCTGAAAACCCTACAGAGTGGTTCTACTCTGCACACAGAGGGTCAGCATGAGTTGGAATTGACTTGATAGCAACCAATAACAACAACAACAATCCATAATTATAAATCACAGTGTGGCTTCAGCTCTGGGCTGTGCTTGTTTCACTCATCATTACTTTATACCACACAGAGAGGCAGGTTTGGTGGTTTTGACCTGTAGGTTACACTGGTGTAAAGACTAGTTGCTGGGAAACAGGGAGAACTGGTATTATAGGACATGAGAGATATTTGCAAGTAAGATGCTATCTAAACACAGAAACATTTGTATTAATGACAGACTATTTTTTCTTACTAAACCAAGCACTTCACACTCAAGCCCAGTCTCCCCTCTCTGCCTAGGTTTATGCCTGAACCCAACCTGCCTCCCCTGGTGCTCTATGATGCCACCTCCCTGCCCGCCGGGGCTGACTCGCAGCAAGTGATTGATATCGACTACATTCGGGAGAGGCTCCCTGAACTCCCTAGCATGACCCGAGAAAAGCTCGTTCAACAGTATGGGATGCTGCCGGAACACAGCTTCACGTTATTGGTAGGTCTGTCGATCAGATGCTAAAATAAACCTAGCTCAACACCTTGGTTAATGCTCCACAGAGGCCCCTTCCCAAGCAGTTGACTGCCATGGGCTCTGCACGGAGCATGCAGGTTTCTCCATTCGTACTGTAGATACTTCTGAGGGTAGTAAGTTGTACTCACCTTTTATAGTAAATGCTCCTCATAAAACCACAAGATGACAAAGGATCCCATATTAGTCATTTCTTCTGTGTATCAGTGAACAGCTGCTTGCAGCAGTCACGTAGGCTTCTTGAAGGCAGTCCAAATGTGTGGGTGAGTGTTTTCCCCTTGTGTCTACAGGACAAAAGAAAATCAATGTGTAGGGTTTCTATATGTCTAGCAGTATTGAACCCTGACAGGTCTAGCAGGATGTTAGGTTCTCAGAAACCAGCTGGTGGTTGTACCACGTCTAAAGGAAAATACTTATTCCACATGAAATACTAAAAACTCGGACTTAAAAGTATCCATCCTTTGAGGCTTGAGTGTTCATCAAAAAGGACTGTTAGAGAAACTGACACCATCGAGATCTGCTTAGGGATCTTCCATCCTTTTCAAAGCTACTCGGGGCTCTGCTGTTTTCTTCGTCATGGCAACATTGAAATGAGGCAGCATCAGTGAGTGCATCATTTTGTCGCAGTTGTCTTCTGCTTGTCTGGTAGCAAGGCAGTGGAAAGTTTTGCAGCTATTTCTTTCAGAGACAAGGCATCCACCCCCCTCTCTTATTACAGAGTGGCAGGATCTGTGGAAACTCTTGAGTATTTACATTTTAAATGACTAGGAGTAAACGTCAGGGGGCAATGGTGATTCAGTGGTAGAATCTTCACCTTTCATGTGAGGGATCTGGGTTCAATTCTCAGCCAATGTACTTCATGTGCAGCTAGCACTTCTATGTCAGTGGAGTTTTGCATGTTAATGCAATGCTTCCAAACTAGGACGGGCTAGGAAGAAAGGCCTGGCAGTCTACTTTCAAAAAAATTAGCCATTGAAAACCCTGTGGATCACAACAGTCCCATCCCTAGCTGATCATGGGGATGGTGCAGGATGGACAGCATTTCGTTACATTGTGCACGAGGTCACCATGAGTCAGGGCCAACTTGATGGCAGCTAACAACAATAACTATAAAGGATACTGGAATTATGTGTATTTATGTGTGTGTACTTTAATAACAGCAACCTAACCCAGTTTCCAGTATGAGGTAGGCAATCAAACATTTGTTAGTAATTATTCTCTCTTTATCATCCATATATCAGCTAGTTTGAGAAGTATCCAAGGAGTCTCAGATGAAAACATCACTTTTACTGCCAATAATGATTAGGCACGATCACGTATCACCTAGCACTTTAGGTGGAGTTGATCACTGCCTCTGTGGGCTGCCATTGTAGCTCACTCATACTTGGATGGTGATTATAATCGCTGTATTTTGATTGTTTCTTAGTATATCTGCTTCAGCCACTAGAGCTCCCAGCGCCTTGAGGGTAAGGGCTGTTTTCATCCTCAGCTTCTGTCAGATGAGCACATCCACAGCACTTACTGCCAGATCTTCGAAGGTATGAATCAGCTAATTGCTAGCCCAGTCAGAACACCTTTGAAATGAAGCTTCTTAATACTAATGTGTTTTCCCTAGATTGACTTAGCAGAGCTGAGTTTTAGTCTTACAAATCATCCCCACCATCTTGGCCATCTGAATTTCCAGCCTACTTGAAAGAATCACTAAATTCCAGACCTCCATTCTACTACATTTATGTAGGAAGTAGAAGAGAAGGCACTGAGGCCACTCCGTTTGGCATTCTAACAGCTGGACAAAGCAAACCTTTCAAGGCAGTGGATGAGGAGCCGAGGTTTCTTGGTTATTTCTTTACTCCAAATTGCAACTTCAAAAATGAGTCCATCGGATATGACATTTGTAATTTCTTTTGTTTCTCAGCTTTCCTTGTAAGAAAAATGAAAGAACCTTTTAGACACCTCTCCTAAGAATAGGGCTGTTCCTCTTCAAGGCACTATCTGAAAATACTCCCTTTGGAGAACATCTCTGTACAGTTGTCACAGTCAGCCTTTGATGGGCATGTGATGGGGACAGTGTCTGTCTCCTCTTGCTTGAGCATAGGGCAAGGACATTTTCATCCTCATGTTTGTGTCTCAGCCTTTTCTACTCACTGTGGCCTTCTCAGTACTGAGAACCCAATGGCCTTGCATAAATGTTTGCTGATGGGGGCAAGTGAGTCTATGCTGTAAATAGTTTAAGATCCTGCTTAGGGAAACCCTTTATTATCAGTTGCTGTCTAGTCAGTGCTCCAACAACAGAATGAAATGTTGCCCAGTCCTGTGCCATCTTCATAATTGTTGGTACACTCAAGTCTATTGTCACGGCCACTGGGCATTCTTAGTGCCTTGCAACCTAGGAGATTCACCTTGCAGCATTATTTTGGACAGTATTCTGTTGTGATGCATAAAGTTTTCATTGGGTAATTTTTGGAAGTAGATTGCCAGGCGTTTCTTCCTAGTCTGTCTCAGCCTGGAAGCTCCACTGAAACCTGCCCACCATGGGTAAAATGGCTGGTATTTGAAATACCACTGGCATAGATTCCAGCATCATAGCAACACACAAGCCATCATAGTACTACACCGTGTGCAGATGTGGTAGGGAGACCTACCTCGATCCATTCCATTTAATACTTTTATTAGCATTTTCTGAGGAATAGGTATTACTGAGAGTGAAAGAGATTTTTTTTTAAAAAATGTGTTTTTTTGGTCTTCAAAGAGTTTACATCCTATACTATACTATAGCTAACTAGCCCTTAGGGCAGGTCACAGTAGATGGAAGTGTAAGGTACAGTGGGAGCCCAGAAGAAGTGGTGATTAATTTGGGGTGAGAAGAGAAAACTTCAAGAAGGAGATGATTTTACAGTCAGTTTTGAAGGGACTTATTTATTTATTTTTTTTGATATCTTAAAAATATGCTTACTGGTATAGCTTGTATATAATACATCATGTGATTGGTGGAAAAGAAAAAAAAGGCTAATACTCGAAATTTTCAAGATGAGTGAGTATAGGATGAGATGAAAAGAGATGGATTCAGACAAATTGTTTCCCTGAAATTAGGCAGGCTAGGCTCTTTATGACTTTGTAATCACTGGAAGCTGAGCTACTCATAACATGGCCAAAAATGATATGTTCTTGTTTTTCCTGCCTTCATCAGAGACACAACAGATTGCTGAGAAGGGCAGATGCACAAATCTAATGAACCATCTTTCCATTTAAAGAGTGCCCAAGAGTATTCATTAAATAAATAGCAGTGGTGGAGGTGTGCTGTGCAGAGCTCCAATTCCATGCCCCATGTCTTTGGATTGCTTATTAAATTAAACATTATGCACATACCTCCCCCCACACATGCCTTACCCACAAATAATATAAACTTCAGAATTTAATCTGTGATTTAGCTTGTCATTTTGTTGTGCAATAGGCACTGAATCATATATTGTTAACATCCAAAACTCACTGCAATTGAGTCAGTTCTGACTCCTTGATATTTGCAGAAGTCTGATATGCCTTAACATATACCACAATGCCTGGCACATAGTAGGCTCTCAGAAAATGCATGTTCAGCAAATGGGTAGACAGAGGAGTGAGTGAGTCAGAGACCGTTACAGCATGCATCTGAGTCCTGGGAGAAATCATCTTCCTGATAAAAGCGATCTGATTCTAAAGGTCAGGCATATGCACCACCCCATTGACTTGCCAGTGAGTCATGGGTGATGCATGTGTCCTTGAACTCTGACAGAGAAGACCTGGAATGCTGTTTCACTGTGCCACGTACTGTGGCTTTATACAAGTCAGTTCATCTCTCTGGCTCTGGTTTTCTGAACTGATTTAATTAGGACATTAAATCAAATCTACATTCTGATTTTCTCCCTTAAACTCTCTTGATAATCCCCTCCCAGCAGAAAACCCCTGTTACTATTTTTCCCTCTGGCCACATAAGAAATATCTTCCCACCTGCAACCTCAACCTATTTAGCTACCCTTGCTTTTCTATCTTATGCCAAGTAGCCTTGATTTCTGACTCATTTGTAAGGATTAAGGAATAGAAATGTGAACACTGAGGTCTAGGTATTAGCATTCTGAAAACTGAGAAATGCCAATAACTTAAGTCCTTCTCAGAGTCAGTATATCTAAGAGCATCTAGTAACTGTTAGAAAGATCAGGATTATATGCATATGGATTTTTCTGGGCAAAATAATTCCAGGCTGGTGGTGCCCAGCTACCATTACTGAACATTCTGATCAACGATTCCATAGAGAATCCTGATCATAGGGGAAATATGTGGAACAGAATTTCAGATTCTTGTGGAATCCAGAAGTTTTGGAGCCTTGGAGACTGGATGAACCCCCAAAACCATTGACCTGAAATAATCTTTAAACCTTAAACAAAAATATCCCCTATAGTCTTCTTGAAACCAAAGAATACTTTAGCTTCATTAATAACGAATGTCTGCCTTGAGCTTTGTGCTTTTAAAATCTATCTATATGGGATCAAATTGACTTGAAAGGTTAGATAAACCTAGAGGGCAGTGAGTTTATGTGAGTAGGTGAGGGACAGGTTGGTTGCACAACTTGAGGAGTGTCAGTAGTGTCACTGAATGGTGTATATAGAAATTTTTGAGTTGATATTTGTTCTGCTGTGTATATTCTCAACAATAGTGACAAGAAAAAAATAAACCAAATTATTAAAATAGGGGAAAAAAATAGTAATCCCAGGCTGATTTCTGTGGGACATTTCTTCCTGAACTCTGTCCCTGTACCTTACCTGACTCAAGCAATGCAAGCTAATTTTAGCCATTTGCCTAAGCAGCACATAAAAAATTGTTGCTCATTTATAGCATGCTCTGCAGTTTACAAGGTACCCCTTTTAATTTATCCTTACATCAACTCTATGAGGTAAATATTACTGTTCTCCCTATTTTACGAGTATGGGAATTTA